ATACATATATCCACACTCATGCACAGATACTCTGCTTTTCCCTGGGCCTGGGTTAATGTGCTCGCTTCTCTGTCTGCTCAGCTTTCAGTACAGAACCAGGACCTCATTGAGAAGAATCTGACGCTCCAAGAACACCTGCGCGAGGCCCAATCAGGGTCCCCATCTTCATCAGACACGGCCCAGCTGGCATTTGAGCTGCATCAGGAGTTGGCCCGTTGCCTTCAAGATCTGCAGGCTGTCTGTAGCATTGTGACCCAGAGGGCCCAGGGTCATGACCCCAGTCTCTCCCTGCTCCTGGGCATTCACTGTGAGTCCTCAGGCCAGTCTGGGACCCAGGAGAGAGTGGCTTTCATTCTCCTCTCACCCCTATCCACCTTTCCCATCATTACTGGTAATGTGTGAACTGGGCTCCGTAGACCTGGTCACCACCCTCTGGGAGCTTATGTGTTTTGCAAAGTAGACGTTCAGTAAATCTGTTTTGGAAACAGGCATCCTTATGGGGTACCTGGGTGAAGGACAAACACAAATGTGGCGCTTAGGCAGCAAGATTTCAGCCCATTATTCCTAGGTGTTTTTTAAAAAGTGCCATGTTCCAAGACCACAGGCCTTATGGCACTGCATATCCATACTGCGCTTTCCACAGGAAAGTGTCTCCTGAGTGATTTACTAATAATCTCTCGAAATGCTCTCCTCCCCAGCTACACAGCACGCAGGGACTCAGCTAGATTTTCAGAAGCCGGATGTGATCAGGAGGAAACTAGAAGAGGTTCAACAGCTACGCCGTGACATCGAGGACTTAAGGACCACCATGTCAGACAGATACGCCCAGGACATGGGAGAAAACTGTGTCACACAGTGAGGAATGCTGGGGGTGGGACAGGCTGTATTCCCCAAGGGAGAATCTGGTCTGCTGAGAGCCCGGTCCAGCAGGTCCTGCCCTGACAATCTCTTGCCTCCTGTCTGCTGCTATTCCCAGAGAGAAGGGATGGAGGGGAGGTATGAGCTGCATCTGGGGCCAAGGGCTGATTAGAGAATTTTGTTTGCCCTGCCCCACTTTGGCTTTGCCTTGTTGGATTGCATTTGTCCTGTCATCCTGATTCACCCTTTGAGGGTGAGTTAATAATTAACTTTTGCAGGTAGACTGGGAAGTCCTCACAGACTGTTCCCAGTTGCAGGCTGACGTCAAAGGCAAGCAGGCTGCTTACCTCCTTTCTCCATCCTTTGGGATGGCTCCACATTCATTCCCACTCCATACCTTGGTCGTGCTGATGCCCAGAGTTCCTTAGAGGGGCCAGGAAAGGCTGAGTACCAGTAACAATGGCCATTTGAGAATTCTCAGGCCCCATGTGCCAGCCTTCCTGGGACCTGATCTGGCTCTGGGTTTTCCTAGGCCCAGTCCCACTGCTTCTTCCTCAGGGCTCTTGTTCTCATAGATGCCTCAGGGTGATCTATTCCTTAGCAAAGTACTAACTAGAATTGGGAGCCCAGGGATTATAACCAGGGCTTCTTCATCTGTGCTACCATGCCCGTTTACAGGAGACCCCACTCTAGTTGCCCTGTGCCCTTGGGGCCCTGGTCGTGTGGTTAGCACAGCCCTTTCTCCTTTGTTCTCAGGCTGGCCAGGTAGCCCCCTTGAGTGCAAACTCACTCCTCTATGGTTCTGGGTTTGGGCAGGATTTTCCCCCAGGATAACGCAGGGCAACTATCAAGCTGCTCACCCCTTCCCCCTGGGGCTGGGGCCAGTGCTTGGCCTTCTGATTTGTGCCTCTCTTGTGTTTGGGATTGGGGGTCCTTTCCCTTTCCTGCTCTGGGCTCCTTGAGAGTTCAGAGTACCCAGTACAGGTCAGCTTTAAGGTACAACTTTCAGTGTTTTTTGTTGTTTCTCCGGGGCCTTTGGACCCTCTGGTTTCTCTTGCCTCCTTGTTGAGGGAGCATCTCGTAGTTGTTTGTATCTGGTTGTTGGGCCAGCCCCGGGCCTCCTCTAGATCTGGAGCCAGGCCAAGCCAGGCTGTGTGTGGGGAAGGGGGAGCACTGAGTAGTTCAGGAGTCCAGAGGCAGCCATTGGGAGATTCTTGCTAAGCTTTGGGCTGGCAGGGCAGCATCCTGGACCTCACTCCTGGCCTGAATGAGACTCCTTCATAAGCGTTTTTACAAGTTTGTGTTTTATTTATGGAGTGACTTATCCCTTCCATTCAGAGCAGCCCCACCCAGCCATCCCCTCAGCCTCTGGGCTCCTGCCTCCTAAAGGCAGAGCTGCCTGGTTGGTCTCCACCCTGTATTGGCAGCCCAGCCACCATGCTCACGGGTATTTTTCCTCATAAAGTTTATAAGCAGTTATTTATATGAATCCTTGTTATGTCAACTGGTTTGTATTGCCTATTTTGATTACAAAATAAAAATTTAACAGACTCCTCGGTTTACCATTGCTTTCCATCACCATCCGCTCGTACTCCACCCCTCACTTTGGCTTGTTGGAGCCAAAGCCTGGGTGTTTAGCCAAGTTCTCCAAACAGCAGCAAGGAGGGAACTTTGGCAGGTCCAGCCTCAAGTCTATTTCTACCACTTCTGCTCCTCTGTCTTTCTGTGGGGACAGATAAGATCTCTTCCCACAGCACTTTCTGTTGGGTGAAGCTGCCCTGAGTCACAGAGCAAGTTTGTCATTGAGTTTCAGTAATCCTCTGAGGAGGAAGTCTTTGCCTGTGGGTTGCTATAAGGAAGTGGCTTCCCCAGGGCAAAGCAGGACTCTGTGTTTGCCTCCAGGAGCTAGGGTTGTCTTCCTGGGCTGTTCTCGGAGCCCTGGACCTGGGAGGACTAATGAGGGGTGTCATGTCCAACCCCAGACAGATGGCTGGGGGTCCAATGTTGGGCTGGTTGCTTCCTCTGCACCCTGTGCCCTCTTCTGCGAGGAGTTGGGGTGGGGCTGGGGCCACCCCAAGGCCAGCAGTGTATCTTTAACAAGGGCCCAGACTCTCAGGAGTCCTGACACCAACCTCTACCTCCACCCAGTCCAGAACTAGAAACCTCTTTCATACCTTGGCCTCCAAATGGCTCTGTGAGGGTGTGGCCCCGTCTCCTGCCACCACCCTCACTTGTCTAAACCTGCCGATCTGAGCGGAGATGAACTCTGGGGAAATCTCTAATCAGAGGCAGTGTGTGCGTGTTGTGGTCGGGGGGCATCCCGTGAAGCGAAGCTCCCTAGCGGGGGAACTTTAGGTTTGAAAACAGCCCAAGACTTCAAAGCCCGGAGCGGAGCAGCGCTGTCGTGGCACCGGGGGTGGGTAGTTAGTTGGGTGCAGCAAACCCGCGCGAGGCTGAAGGGGAGGCCTCTGCCAAACCCTCACCCACGCCCTCCCCGGCCCTTCCTGCCGTCAGCTCGCTCCCCAGCCTCACACTGTCAGCCCCAGCTCGGAAGGCTGAAAAGGGCGGCCCTGCGTGGGACAGGGGTCCTCGGTGCGCCCGGTCCCCAAGGGGGGCGGGAGGGGGCCCGGCGCTGCGTGGGGCGGGGTCGCGCAGGCCCCGCCCCGGCCGCGCGCCTGTCCGTGCCGCCCATTGGTCCCGAGAGCTATGACTCGCGGGCTGAGCAGGAAGGAAACCGCTCCCGAGCGCGGCGGCCTCGTCTCCAGGCCGTGCAGCTGCTGCCACCGCTACCCCGTCTGCCCGTCGGCCCGTCGGCCCATCCGCAGCATGAGCGGCCTGCGCGTTTACAGCACGTCGGTCACCGGCTCCCGCGAAGTGAGTGCGCGCCCTGGGGTAGAGCGCTGGTGGTGGTCCTGTTGCTCTGGACCCGGCGCCTGGGACCCGCCCCCAGGGCGGGGGCGGCGAGGTGCTGGACACGGCCTCCTGAGTTGGGTGGGGGCAGGCTTCTTGGCCCCATCCTAAACACCTCCTTCGGGCATCCTGGGTCGTCTGAACACCCACTACCAGGCTGAGCCTTGACCATGTCCTTATCTTGCCCTTCCTCTCCTCCACTGTGTGTGTGTGTGTACCTGGGGGCGGAGGTGGCGCCTTACCCGTCTCCACCCAGGCCTGCCCTGCTTTCTCTTTGCCGAGCTCCTGGCTCTCCCCACCCTTAATTTATCTCACTTACGTTCACTCTAACTCCCCTCCTCATGGTTGGTGGTCCCTCTCTCCTTCCACACCACCACAATCCTGACTCCTCCTCCCAACTCCTAGTGGCCAGAACCCTCCCCTAGGGCGTGGAGCGGGACAGGGGGACAAAAGCTCCTGGCCACACTCCCTTTTTTTCTGCCCAGGGTTCCTCCCATAAACCCTCCAGTCTGCTCACTAACCCCTGCCCGCCCTTTGCCCCCAGATCAAGTCCCAGCAGAGCGAGGTGACCCGCATCCTGGATGGGAAGCGCATCCAGTACCAGCTAGTGGACATCTCCCAAGACAACGCCCTGCGGGATGAGATGCGAGCCCTGGCGGGCAACCCCAAGGCCACCCCACCCCAGATTGTCAACGGGGACCAGTACTGTGGGGTATGGGCCTGGGGGTTGGGGATGGAGGGAGTGTTGTAGGAGGATACCAGCCAGAGTCAGACCTGAGACAAAGCACCAGCACTCAGGTGACCACCTCTTGTCCCCTCCCCCAGGACTATGAGCTCTTCGTGGAGGCTGTGGAGCAAAACACACTGCAGGAGTTCCTGAAACTGGCCTGAGCCGAGTCAGCCCCCTGGACTCCGTCACCACGTTCCCCCCAGCCATCACCCATGAAGGACCTTGTGACAACTCCGTTATTCCTAACCTTACGACCTTGGAGCCCCTCCCCCCAACCCAAGACCTACCGCCTCCCCTCTCTAACTGTAGCTCCCTCTCCTCTATTCAAAGGCAACATTCCTTACCCACTAGTCTCAGAAATTGTCTTAAGCAACAGCCCAAGTGCTGGTTGTCCTCAGCCTGGCCCTGAGGCTGCCACCCTGCCTGGCACTGGCTGATAGGCACCTTTGTTGGTTCCATTAGCCAGGGCTCTGCCAAAGGCCCCGCAATCCCCATCCGGGAGCACCGCAGAAACAATTAAATGTTCCATTCCATTGGCATCGTGTCTTTGTCTGGTGTGGCGTGGACATCCTGGGTCCCTGCTCTGAGCAAGTCTGGTAGATGTGATTGTGCTGAGGCTGTGCTCCCGTGTGGCACCTCTGTGTGCGATTGACAGTGCGTGTGTTTGGATATATGTCCAGCACACACATACCTGTGTGGACCAACGGTTTCTAGAGCGTGTGGGTGGGTCACCCTCCAGTGCACATGCACGTGATGGTGTCCATTACCTTGGTGTATACTGCACGTTTGCATGCCAGTCAGTAACGCGGCTGTGCCTCGTGGCCACCTGCCTGTGTCCCAACAGCTCGGCTAGGTGTGGGTGTGTCATGGAAGTGGGTGCCCAGATGCAGTTCTGTCAGTGTTGGGGCAGTGGCTTTGATGCATAGTGTTGAAGTGTCCCCACGTGCTTGTGGCCCTGCGCGTGTCTGTGCGCAGGGATCTGCACACTGGCACAAGAGGCGCTGGGCTGGGGTGGGCCCTCTCTCCCCTGGAGCAGCTTAGCCCTTCTGAGCAGAAAGAGGAACCTAGAGGACAAAGACCCAGCGGCCAGGCCCGCCAGCTGGGGCTCAAGTTACAGAGGGGTGGCTCGGCGCCGCCCCCTCCTCAGCGGAGCTAGTGCTGCTGGGCTGCCCTGCCAAGAGAGCCTCGCAGAGCAGCCGGTGTTGGGGTGGGCGCTTTATTCGGGGCCGGGGGCGGGCAGCGGAGCCCGGCGCGCCCGAAGCAGCAGCGTGGCGTTGGGCACCAGGCCCACGGCCTGCAGTGTGAGAGCGTCATTGTGGTAGACTGTGGGCGGGAACGTACTGAAGATCTCGAAGGTGGTGGCCTCCACGGCCCTGGGGACAGGGAAGAACGAATCAGGCCGGGTCGTGGGGCCAGAGCCCCGCTGCGGCCGCCAGCTGAGCCCCGCGCCCACCTGGCCTGTGCAAGCAGGGTGCGCACATCACCGACTGTGTCCTCCGGCCGCATCAGCAGCAGGAAGGCCTGCTCGCCATTCTCAGACTTGATGCGCAGCGTGGAGAGCGCGGGCACGGGTGACTCCGGAGACTCCTGGCTCCTGCGGACCCAGAGGCCGTCAATACCCCCTGGTAGCCCAGTCCCAGGGTCCTCACCTCTCCACTCTGCCCTCACCTCTCACGCTCAGCAGCCAAGGCAGGCGTCTCCACCACGATCTCCTGGATCTGGACACGCAATGGGCAGCAGTTCCGGAAGGCATCGATGGAGTGGACAGAGCCCTGGGCCCTGCCAGTCACACTCTCCCCCCAACCCCTACAGGGGACTTCTCCTGACCAGGGATGGATGAGACCAGTGAGCCAAAGCGGGAGGGGGTATTCTGTGTAAATGGGGGCCCAAGGAGAGGAAATAGAAGGGAAGCTTTGGGAGGTAGCCCCATCGTTCCCTTCCCTCATTCTAGTGGGGGAGACAGAACCCCACACAGTGACCAGGCTGGGTGCCTAACCTAGCATGGGTCTGGGAAGGCTCCCCTGGGGAAATGACACCTGAGCTGTGACTGAAGGATGAAGAGGAGTCCTTAGAAATGGGATGGGGGGCAAGGATATTCCAGAGAGCATAGGTCAGGGAAGACTTCTGAGAAGAGGTGATATATTTGAGAAAGTGTCAGCATTCATGTGGCTGAAGCTGGGAATCAGGTTGGACTGGAAAAAAGAAAAGGTTAGAGGTGGGAAAAGGACCAGAAAGGAATGACAGGCCTTACCTAAGAACCACTGGAGGGTTTCAACAGGGAAGAGCCAAGATCCAATTTGCATTTTTAAAAGAGCACAGAGGCTGCTGGGGGAGGATGGCTGGCAGGGCGGGAGTGGAAGTGGGAGGCCAGTGAGGGGCCACTGCAGTTGTCTGGGAGACACTCTGGAGCCTAGGCTAGGATGGTGGGCGGGGGGGAATGGAGAGAAGAGATGGATTTGGGAGCAGTTCTGGGGATAGACAGATCTGACGGGACTTGGCCACGTGTGGTGAAGGCAGAGTCCCGGGACCCAGGCGGGGCGAGGGAGGGGTAGCAGGGTGATGAGTCCTGTGAAGGCCAGGAAGGTGTATTTCGGTCTGGACCTCAAGAGGGTGGCCTGAACTTGGGCTCACCCCCAACCTAGACTCCCCTGACTTTCCCACTCTTAGAGCCACACTCCTGCGTTGGCCAGTTGCTCTCTGGTCCCAGCTCAGAGAGACCAGGAGACAGTCCTGAGAGCTCACCAGCTCCATCGTTTCCAGGAGACAGGGGAACAGCTCTGAGGAACTCATCTCTCCATCCAGGCCATCCTCAGGGGCCCTCAAGCCTGAGCCTCCAGGTAAGCCGCTGCTCCGGTAGGCTGGGCCAGGGTTGATGGTAAAGCCGCCCCCCCCACCCCCCTCCCCCACCAATAAGGCTGGGGGAGCCAGGGCTGGCCTCACCTTCAGGGTGCCCTGGATGGGGCCTCGAATGTCAATCACCTCGCCTTGTCGGATCACTAATTTGGGCAGCCTGTTCAGAAACTTCTCGGCGATCATCCTGGAGCCTGCAGAGAGGGCATTGGGAGCCTTGGCCGGGGCAGAGACTGTGTGTGATGGTGGAGGAGGCTACCTGGAGCTTGTCCTGCACAGTGCCCCCACCACCTGGCTCAGCCTCAGGGCCGAGCTCACCTGGGTGCTCCATCCTGTCCAAGGGCTTTCGAATCCTCTGCCAGCCTACCACTCGGCCCTCGCCTGGGAACGGGTCCAGCCCATTCTCTGGGTAGACCTGATTGCGCAGGTCACTCACCTGTCAAGAAGGAAGGGAAACAGCGGCTGGCACATCTCTTCAGCCCTGAGCTCCATGCCCACCCCTACTTGCCCAAACAGAGGCCCCAGGAATAGGCCCAAGGGATGGTCTGATGCAATCCCCATTTTACAGATGAGGAAACCAAGGCCCTGGGAAAGAGCAGGAGAGCTGCAGTTCATGCTGCTCCCACCCACCTGAGCCCTGCTCTTCCTGCAAGCTCCCCTCATCACTCCAGCTGGAGCCACAGTACTGACATCCTCTTCACAGAGTCCCTCTCGGGAGCAGACCAGGAGGGGAGGGATGAGGATGTTAGGAGAGGGCAAAGCCCTGCTTGGCATGAACTACCTCAAACACCCCTGGTCGTGACTCACGCTATTTTCCAAGCCATGGTGGCACACACCCCCTCACATGCTCTCACTGTGGAACTAACGCACCACCCTCTGGGACACAACCTCATGTGCTCCCATCACAGCACCCTCATCTCACTGCCGACTGCCCCCACAGCAGGGGGCCGGCTCCATCTCAAGTCCTTTAGTCCCAACGTTTGCCCCCCAATGGCACTACCTTCCACCCCAACCAGGAGGCTCCAGGAGCCTCTGGGGGGAGCCAGGACAGTTTTGCGTGGGCTCCTCACGTTCCCCAGGCTGTCCAGGTGTCCTGAATGCTGGGGAGGAGGGGCAGTGGTGCCACGCAGCTGAGGGCTCTGCTCTCAGGATGCCAGAAGGGGGCGCTGCCTGCTGTTCAGCTACATGCCTTCCCCACTGCTGATGCGGCAAGTATGGCCACGGCAGCCTTCCTGCTCCCTTCCCAGCCCGTTTCAGGCTCACCCTCCTTCTGGAGGTCATCAGACTGGGGTCTCTGAGGTGGGGCAGTGCCCCTAGGTGATGCCTGAGGAAGCATTCCCACCCCCTCCAAAATCCCCACACTGGGAGTGAGTGGTTTAAGGAGAGCCCATCACCTTAAAGGGGACCCCGTCAGGGTACAGCCGCTGGAGCTCTGACGGGAAGAAGCCATCCAATATGTCTCGGAGACAGCGCTGCAGGGGGAGAGGTAGGGTGAGGCCCGGCTGGACCTGTGCAGTGCCCTACACCCTGCTTCCTGTCTAGATGGCAGGCTCTGGGCCCCGGGATCATGGGGCCAGTTACTCTCTGGATCAGACTCTGGAAACAGAGTCCCAGGACATGGTTGGGGGGGGGGTGGTTCTGGAGCTTCTGCATGAGCCTGGGTGCTGGGGGTGAGCTGGGCCCATCATCTCCAACTAATGGTGAGCAGGGGGTGGGCCACCACAGTGGCTTGAGGGTGCACAGGCCTGTCTCCCCTCCCCGTCACTCCTACCTGTGTGGAGGGATCGTGGAAGGGCCGGAAGGGCCCATCGAACATCACGATGCCATTCCGGTAGAGCTTCAGTGGGATGGGCTCAAGGACACAGTGTGGCACTCTGCTGGGCATTGGTGTCAGCTGGGTGTCACTGTCTACCGCCAGCTCACTGAGATCCTTCAGGCTAGCCAGCAGCCTGTCAAAGTCTACCTCGGGGGGTACCAGTGAGTCTCCTGGCAAAGAGGATTGACACCCATGAGCCTCTCTTCATGGCTGCTGTGTGCTCCAGATCCCTGGCTTCCACAGCCCCCTCCTATGCTGGGCAGGGGCCTTAGCATCTCTTTAAGTGACCACCTGGGGAGGAGGAAGGACAGCTAACACTAGATAATAATAATAGCTGTCCTTTAGTGAGCATTTACTTTGTGCTAGGGGTTTAACATCTATTATCCCATTCTTTCTTCATACCAACCCTATGCTGTAGGGACTATAAACATCCCCATTTTCCATATTAGGAAACTAAGGGTTAGAGGTTAATGGCTGGCCTAGGGACACACACAGTAAGTGGCAAGAGCGGGATCAGATCCCAGATCAGATGTGCCAGGCACTGTGTTAGCAGCTGAAAGGCACAGTGCAGAGTTCCCAGCTGTCTGGGCTCAAATTCCAGCTCCTCCACTTCTACCTGTGTGACTTTGGTCAAGTCATTTAACGCTCCGCACCACAGCATTCTCTTCTAGAAGGTGACGATGATAGGACCAGGATGGCTGTGAGGGTCCAAGATGACCACGTAAGAATTCCAGCAAGCATCTGTCTGTGTTAGTTATTGTTGCCAGCTCTACCGTGCACAAATGGACCTCAGGCCAACCCAGAGGCCACGCAGCAGGGTTATTTATCTCCATTTTACACATGAGGAAACAGGCCCACAGAGATGAAAAATGATTTGCCTCAGGCCACTTGGCAAGTTAGAAGAGGGGGTTGACCCTGGAGTCTGTTCTTTCCACCCATCTGCACCATCAGGAGAGAGAGGTGAGGGTCGGGACACCTGCTGGACAGGACATGGGAGACCTTGGGTTGCACATGTATTTGGCCTCCTCTTCTGACAAATGTGTTGTCCATAGAGCTGTTCATAAGGTTCACGGGGTGCAGGTGGGGTGATGAGGCAGCCAAGACAGATGCCAGAGCAGAAAGGATACAGGGCAGGTGGGGTGCTGCTGGGGGACAGGCCAGGAGCTTGTTCTCAGTCTTGAAGGGATCTTGCCCCGAACTAAGTCATCTACTAGGGTGTAACCCTATAAAACACTGGTGACTTTCTGGGCCTTCTTGGAAGCTGTTTTTCACCAGGACAGCCAGGCTGAGGCAGGATGTGGGTCAGGACTCTGGGGACCCAATTCCTTTCCCCACAGTGGTGCAGTGGCTGTACCGGGGAAGTACAGATGTGGGCGGCCCTGTTTCCTGTTGCCTTTGTGGCTGCTGAAACGGTAGGCCCCAGCTGGCCTTCCCTTCTCCCCTACATCTCCTACTGCTGCAGGGGCTGCACCTGCGCCCCCCTCTTCCTGGGGTCCCCTGGAGTCCCTGAGAGTCCCAAGAAAAACTCACAGAACATCCTGGATATCCCTGGTATGAGCCAGAACAATATCGAGACACCATTTTCCTTTAACAGCTAACTAAGTACTTTCAGAACACCCAGGTAAACCCGAAAATAACAGCAGAAAAGCTCATCACTGCCAACATCTGCCCCCACCCTATATTCTTACAGATGGAAAGTGAAGCCTAGAAAGTCACATGACTTGGCCAAGGCAGGCCACACAGCACGGCCAACAGGACGACTCAGATGCGCGCGGACTGCTAATCCAGCTGCCTCCTGGGGCCTGGGCTTTTTCAGGGAGCTGAGGTGTCGACAGGGGAAGGGGCAGGTGGAAACCCAGGGGAGGATGCCAAGAAGCAATGAAAGAGAAAAGAAAAGTTGGCGGAGAAAATCAGCCCGGAAGGCTCTCAGCCAGGGCTCGGGGGTGGAGAAGTGAAAGCAGGGTGGGCCTGGCAGGTATCAGATGCAGCAGAATGGAGGTGACATAAGGGGCCCGGGAGAAGGAACCGCCGCTCTGGACAAACCAGGGCTAAGAGAATAAGGCAGGAAGAGCCTGGCATCGCCACCTCACAGCCAGGAGTGCTCAACAGAAGCCTGGCCCCGTGCAGCCACGTCACGTGGGATGAGGCAGGTCAGAGGTCAAGTGAGGCATTTCCTCTCTGAGCCGCAGCTTTCTTTTCCAGGGAACGGGTAGATAATAGAAATCTTCATCCTGCCCGCAAGATCCAGGGGTGAACTGACTGTGATGATGACTCAGCATTTACTATGCCAAGCATCAAGAGGCAGGTCTTCCTTCTCCCATTTTACAGATGAGGAAACTGGGCCTTGTAAGGTGACATGCCCCGGGTCACGCAGCTTGCAGGGCCCAGGTGACTCTAAGCCTCTGTCCTCAGTGACCACGCAGGCTTGCCTCTCAGTGTTGGTTCTTCAGGTACTGCTCACTGGGGTTCCTTTCCAAGGAGGGGTACAGTGCAGGGAGATCATCTCTGAGGCCTCATCCAACTTTTGAGAGCCCATGATTTTATTTAAAAGGGGAGTGAACAGGCATGGAGATCAAGTCCAAGCTCCTTGGCCCAACTCCCAAGACCCTCAGAGCCCTGGCTCCCCAGCCTGCCCTCAACAAGCTCCCCCACTCACACTCTGAAGCCGTACAGCCCGGGCTACCACTTCCAAGCTGTGTGACCCCGGGCACATGGGCCAACATCTCTGGGCCTCAGCTTCCTCTTCTATAAAATGAAGACAATAACAGCCCCACTTTACAGGGTTGCTGTGAGGCTCACAGGAAGTGCCTGGCAGACAGAGCTGTTGTTGTCACTAACACCCCACCCTCTTGATCATCACAGGGCTCAGGTGCCCTCTCACCACCTAAGTGGAGAAGCCTTGCCCGGAGCCCCTGCCCCTGAGCCTGGGCCTCTGTTCCTCCTGGGTTTCTGGAGCCCTTGGGCCCACTCCTGGCCCTCATCACAGGCTGCTGTCATTTTGTTTGCTTATTGGTCTTTCCAGCTACACCGGTCAAGTTGAACACAGGCAAGAGCAGCCAGCCCTGGGCCTGGCCCACAATGGGTGCTCAAGACGCACTGGATCCGTCCCTCCACCCCACCACCCCGCCATCCAGCAAGTACGTCCGCAGCGCCCGTGCCCTGCCAGGCTCTGAGCAGCATGGCCACGCCCATGCCCAGAGTCCTGCCCTCCTCAGGCTCATACTTGAATGAAGGAGACAGGGTGACAAAGAGTGACAGTGGCATGTGTTAAGTGCCACTGTGGGGTCGCAGGGCCCAGAGGAGGGCCAGACCCTGCCCCTAGCGCAGCTGAGTGGTGGGCCTGCCCTGGGCTGGCCCCTCGCACCCTCACCAGGAGGACAACCTGCTGCTGTGAAATCCCGGCAGTGTCCGACGTGCGCCAGCAGGCCCGTCCCAGCACCGCATGCGAAGGCTGTTGAAAGGAAACAGACCCGCTATTTCCACCCACCTGCACGCCGGGCCCTGCTCTGGGGACTTCACCTACATTCACTCTGCTCTTCAGAGGAGCCGGCGGGGAGAAAACGGGCTCCGAGAGTCTGGTCACCGCCAGGGTGACCAAGGGGGGCCTTGTGACTCGGCAGGAGCTGACTTCTGCCTGTGACTCGGCAGGAGCTGACTTCTCTGGCCCTCGCTTTGATCATCACGCTGCTTTTCCCCACCTCATCCTGTACAGAGGATCGTCCCGGCGGGCTCTGACCATCCAAGCCAAGGGCACCCAGGCAATGCCTGCGAATCACCTGCCTGTGCACGTGCCCTGGCCTTCGGGTCGAGCCCTGTGCTGGCACTCTGGAGCACAGCAGGGGCGGAGCAGTAGATGGCCATGGTCATCATTCACTGACCGCATGTCCGCCTGAGAGAACACTCCACGTACTCCACACTGTGGTATTCAGTGCTCTCAGTTCAGGGCCTAGGGGTCAATCGTACCATCTCCTCACCTCACAGATGAGGATGTGGACTCAGAGGTGAGGCAGGTTCCCCACACAGGGTACGATCTGACCCAGGCCCCCCTCTTCAGCCAGAGCCTTTAAGGCTTTCACTGCAACGCAGAGCCCCTAACTACGCGCCCGGGGCAGCTGCAGGGCGGCACAGCGCCTGGCACCGAACAGGCACTCCACGCACATGTGCTAGAGCAGGTGGGGTTTGAGCTGAGCTTCACAGGAGGGGAGAAAAGGGGGCAAGGCACTTGGGGGACACAGCACAGGACCGAGCTAGTGGGAGGGTGGGTGGCAGGAGTCCAGCCTGCCTGGGGTCTAGGCCAGGCCAGTTCCAGGGGCCCAAGGGCAGCCCAGGGACAGCCCATTGAGGAGTCAGGCTGGCTTCCTGAGCAGGGGAGGGAAGAGGCTCCCACACAGATGCCAGAGCCTGGGCTTGGGGAAAAGGGTTGGGGAGGTGGGCGCTGGGAGTGGGAAGGGGAGATGTAGAGAGAGGGCAGGGACTTGATGGGGGGTGGTGAGGAGCTCAGAGGTGAAGGGTGGGGGGAGCTCAGAGTTGGCTGGAGCTCTCAGCCCTGAGGCTCAACACCTGACCCGAAGGTGGTAGGACCAGAGCGGGAACTGTCCCTTTCATGTCTCCGCATACCCTGAAGCACCTGGCACGGCATCCTGTTTGCTACTCAACGTACTGGTGGGAAGGGGTGAATGATCTGGCCTGAGGCCAAGCCCTTGCAAGGCTTCCTCTCCCCTGAGCCCCTTCATGGGCCCAACTGACCCTCCTCCCTAAGAGTCCCAGGCTCTAGAATGTTTGAATCAGCCCCAGTCTGCCTAATACAGATGCCCCAGCTCACCAATCCACTGGCCTGCTGCCCCAGGGCCTGTGGGGAGTGGTACCCAACAGAGGGAGATCCAGAGAAACAAGCCAGAGCATCAGGGTCAGCCAGAGGCTGGCTTCATGGACCCAAGGGCCCTTGGGGCAGGGGCAGGTTGGCACATGGGGACAAGGCCATAGGGAGAGGAAGGGAAAAAGCCAGGAAAGGGGGGTGGGCAGTCCCAGGAGGAAAAGCTGCTAGAAATGAAAAACATGTTGTTCATCTGTCAGAAGAGCTAAACTGAGCACCCTCCATGTTGAAGAATCAAAAGGCAAAAGAAGAAAAAGACACAAATCAGGAACTTGTGGCCAGGCTTTAGAACAAGTGGCTTGAGAACAGCCATACTCTGAGCAAAAAACAACAACACAGAGCAGTTGGGGGCTGCTCTCTTTTTGGGAGGAGAGGGTGGAATCCACAGAACCAGGTCCAGAAACCAGCTGTCTGGTCTCACCCCTTCCCCAAAGGAGCAGGGAGGGCCCCACTGGCCAGAAGGAAGTCTGCCCTCCAACTAGTCAGCAAGGCCACATGAGGCCTGAGCCCAGCTCACCACACAGGGGCAGTGTGTGTGTGTGAGTGCGTGCGTGCGTGTGTGTGTCCGTAGTGCCGGCAGGCCTCTGGCCCTGGACCCCAGGAAGGGACATCCTTACAGCTTCTGGCTGTTGCCTATCAGGGTCTCGCCTCTCACCCAGGGAGAACTTCCCATAGCACTCAGCCCAGGGTTCAGCTCCTGGCATGGCCCAGCTGCCATACAGCTCCCCAGCTTTGCCGTGTCCTAAATGGGACATCTTCCCCGACAGCCGTGCTCCCCAGGGTCATCCCAGGTTCCTCCCACCCCCTCCCTAATGTTCGAGCAATCGCCAAGGCCATGGATTCCCCTCCTAAATCTCTCTGCTCTGCCCCTTCTCACCAGCCCCACCAGTATCACCCTTATGCTGGGCATCATCTCATCTTTGGCCTGGATGACTGTAACCGTCTCCCAGTGGGCTCCCAGCCTTAAGTCTTGCCCCCTTCACTCAACAGACTGCTTAAGTGCCTCAGTTTCCCCATCTGTAAAATGGAATAACCCCTGGCCTGTGCCAAGGCTATTTGTGAAAATGCTTTAAAAGTGGCAAATATGGTGCAAATGGGAAGTGATGTTTTTGAAACAAGGGTGAGGGGGTTTTCCCCTGAGATTTAGGGGGATCTAGCCAATGTGCAGCAGGTGGGACTCTCACGTTTTCAGTCTGGGTTTTTACCCAGCAGGAAACTTATGAAATTAAGAAAGTACAGTTGTCTTCCAAACAGTCCCCTGGGAGCCAAGCTCATGTTCCCATGAGACTGCCACTGCCTTCTGACCGTGGAAAACAATGAGAGTTCCCACTTGTGGGGCTGATGACATGCGAGGTCAGTGCTAGGTGTTGCGTCCAACCCACTGACTCGTAGTAACTCTATGGGAAAGAATACACACCCATCTACTGACGAGGAACTGAAGGCTCAGAGAACGGAACTCGAGTACCCAAGTCACACCTGGGTTAGGCGGTGGTGATGAGGACCCAGGTGTGACCAACAGAGCCTGGAGAACTACCTTCCAGGCAATGACCTCCATTCTTTGAAGAGAATGGACCCAGCTTTCAGAAGTGGCCAGTTCTGGGACTTCCCTGGTGGCGCAGTGGTTAAGAATCTGCCTGCCAATGCAGAGGACACAGGTTCGATCCCCGGTCTGGGAAGATCCCACGTGCTGCGGAGCAACTAAGCCCATGTGCCACAACTGAGTCTGCGCTCTAAAATCTGCGAGCCACAACTACTGAGCCCGCGAGCCACTACTGAAGCCCGCCCGCCACAGAGCCCGTGCTCTGCAACAAGAGAAGCCACCACAATCAGAAGCCCACGCACCGCATCGAAGAGTAGCCCCTGCTCGCCACAACGCAACTAGAGAAAGCCCGCACACAGCAACGAAGACCCAATGCAGCCAAAAAAAAAAAAAAAAAGTATATATATAAAGGAAGTAGCCAGTTCTATGGCCCCAAATCTCTGGAGTGCATCCCTCGGGATATTAGCAGTTGAGTTAAAAATAAAACGTGGTGGAGGCCCAGAGATGCAGGTAGATTTCAATAGTTTGCTACAAATGAACCTGGAAAGGGAGTCCACAGAGGGGACCAAGCCCCTGGCCTGAGGGCCAGCTTCCAAAGCAGGGGGATTGCTTCTAAAGGCCACAGCTTTTAAATGGGTGACATTTTGTAAACTATGGTGCCTGAGACAAATGAGGTCTTGTTACGTTTTGTATCCCTGGGTCCCTGGAGCCTTAGAAAGATGAGCAAGCAGAGTCCAGGGTTAGGTGGTCAGGGATGGAGGCTGAAGCCTTTCTCTCCTGCTCCTGTGTCAGTGGCAAGCTGTGGGAGGCTGTGGGGCACCTTGTGCTGGGAGAAGGGGCATGAATGAGCTGGCCTCTGGACAGCTGTGGGCCATCGGTAGCTGTAGGGGAATTCCCTTTGCAGGAGGGCCCGGGGTGGACCCCGACTTTACCTGGCTTCCAGAACTTCTTGGCTGTCATCCAGTCCCTTTCGCCATCCTCTGAGTCCTCCTCATGCATGGGCTCACCCACCCACTGCAGGCCGTAGTCACCGAGGAACCGCTGTGGGGAGAGAAGAGGGAGATGTCGGGGGCACTGTCAGCTCAGCCCCTTCCAGGGGAAAAGGCGGCATCAGCCCAGCCCCCAGCCTCAGGCCTCCGCTCCCAGCCCACTGGATGGGGCGATGGGCCCGGGGGTCTTGGCCACTTCCTGGCTGTGGCCTTGGGAAGCCACCTCACCTCCCAGAGCCTCAGGCTTCTCCTTGTAAAATGAAGCTTGTGAGGACTCACTAAGGTAATTCACATAATGTCCTTAGCACAGGGCCTGGCACAAGTAGGAACTCGTGTAAGTCAGCCATTATGGCGGCGGGGAGCCATGTGGGTCTGGCCCGAGTGGGAGGAGAGGAAGGGACACCTGCTCTGCAGGTCTGAGAGGACATGTCCCCCCACATGTCCCACATGTGGCCTCTCTAGGGCTGGCCGCCCAGCGCCTGTGCCACAGGAAAACTTCTGAGTTGTCTATGCTTCCTGTTGCTGCTTCCTCACCTCCACTCCTTCCCTCAACCCACTCCAGCCCGGCTTCCATCTCCACAACTGACTGCAACTGCTAACAAGCAGCCACCTGCAACCTGCCTGCTGCCTAACCCAGCGGGCACACTTCTGCCTTCATCTCTTGCAACATATGTTCTTCTTTTTCAGTTTCAAATTTCTAGCCATCTACACTTAGATGTCCAACAGGCACCTCAAAATGAACTTGGCCCAAACAGTCATGCCTCCCTGCTCCCACCTCCCAAGGCGGGGAGTGGCCCACGTCCCAGCTAGTCTCTAATGTGTTACCCTTTTAAATATTTCACCATACTCCGTACTTGTGTCTCTTCCTGTGTACTTGTTTATGTGTGTCCCCTCTAGACTGTCAGTGCCATGAGGGCAGGGACCCTCTCTGCATCCCAGTGCCTGGCAGGGTGCTGGGCACACAGGAGATACTTTGTCTGAGTTTGCTAAATTAACGAAGCAATCAACGTGTGAACAACGTGAACGGGGGAGCCCCAATGCCCTCTGCCCTGAGGGGGCAGCCCTGACTCCTGTGGCAGCTGCTCAGAGAAGCCCCACGGGCTGCCGGCAGTCCCAGCAGGCCGCTCGGGGGCGGCTGCTTACCCACAGCCCCGGGGTGAGCACGGGCCTGGGTGGGAAGGGCCCTCAGCTGCAGCTGCTGCTTGGGGCTTTGCGTCTGTGGTCTTAGGTTGGGGCTTTGGAAAAAACTCGGTGTGGAGAGGGAGAGGCTAGAACCCCAGAAGGAGCTTCTGGTGGGGCCGGTGAGGCAGTGGGGGGCCCTGAGGATGTATGCATGCCTAGGACCCTCCCTTGAGCCTGGGGGTCCCTCCAGCTCAAGCCTTGCTGTGTGAACGATGGCAACAAAGGTGACACTGGGTGAGTGAGATGCCACGTCCAGAGGCAGGGAATGGCCATGATAAACGCAGTAAACACGCACAGCCAGGCCCCTGCCAGGTCCTGGGCGCGCAGCAACGAGCAGGAGAAAAGTGCTCCCTCCCTCGTTCCCTCGGGGGGTCCACGGTCCCCAGAGGAAGAGAGAGTGGAGCACCTGCCCTGGTCACAGGTGAAGGGGGTCCCCTGGGAAAGGGCTCCCACCTTTACTTGAGACTGAGGATCAGTGAAAACTCGCCAGGGGAAGGTAGAAAAAAATTTCAGGTGGAAGGAACAACACGGACCAAGGTCCTGAGGTGGGAAAGAGCTTGATGTGGTCAAAGCAGCAGAAGCAGGTCCCCGTGGCTGGAGGGGAGAGTAGTTCAAGCCGACACTGAGGAAGGGGGAAGGGCTAGCCCAAGCCTGAAATGGGATGGGGGGTGCCCCGGGCCCCTGTGTGGGATGTGCGGTGAGGAGACCCCAGAGAGGTGGGCTCTGACCCAGTCCCTGGGGGCAGACAGCCCTGGGCCGGCACCTCCCTCACCTCCATCTCCCCGACCTGCCGCTGCAGCTGCGCACATGTGGTCTCCAGCTCCTCCTGCCGCTGCAGGGTCACCGTGCCTTCAGGAAAAGACGGGGAGGGGTTCCTGTGCCCCCCGCACGGAGGCTGCCAGGCCACTTCTGGCCATGACAAGAGCTTTGGCCTGAGGGTCATCTGGAGAAGCTGCTCCACGAGAACTCGAGGGATCCCCGGAGAAGCACCTCTTGGCCTCTCGCCCTGACCTTGAGAGCGGACGCCCTGACTCTCGGGAGGCTGCCAGCCCACCGAGCGAGGCTCCTGACGGGGCTGCCTTTCCTCCAGGCTTTGGCTGGCAGGCCCTGTGCTCAGGGCTGGGCTAGGGCTGCGCTCGGGGGACTCAGTCCCACACAGAAGGGCACCGCCCTGGGTGTCACTGCTCCTCTCTGGGCTCCATTGCCCAGACTCCACCACAGGACTCAGCTTGATGCTCTCGGAGCCCTGATACCCAGAGGTCGCTGGCCCAGGGGGTACAAAGGGGGGCTGACCAGCCCACAGAGGGCCTCTTACCCTGGTGCTCCTGGAGGGTCTCCACCAGCTCCTCCAAGGCCCGTATCTTCTGATCCTGCAGCAACGAGACAGGAGGGGAGCAGACCTGGTGGTTCCCAGAGCCCAAGGGAGCCCCTTCCAGATGGGAAGACCCGGCTTAAAGCCCCTGCCCCGCTCTGGCACTGCTCCGGTGCTCAGATGGCCCTTGTGGTCCCACTGAGGTGGGGGCAGGGGGTGGGCACCCCCAAGTGCCCAGCACTCAGCAGCCACTGCTGCCACCCAATCTGAGGCCTACGGGCCTCGCTCAGATGTGGAGAAGACCCCTAGCCTCTCTGCTCAGGTCACAGGGACCCAGGTCAGTCCCGGGCCAGACCTGGCCCTCGAGTTGGGCGGTTTGGTCAGGGAGATGGTTCTAGAACCCATCCACCATGGTCTATTGCAATAGTAGCCTCACTGGCCTCCCCAGCCCAGGCCCTTCCACCCCTCAGACCAGACCCTGGCCCTCTCCCCCCTGGGGCCCCACCTTGGAGAGCATCTCATCCGCCTGGGCCTTCACCTGCCGCTCCAGATCCCGCACTTTCCTCGCCATGGTGGCCATCAACTCCGAGTCGTGGTACACAGGGACTGCCAACCAGACAAAGTCCTAGAGCCTGGGCCTTGAGCTGAGGCTGAGGTATGGGGGTCCAGGGGAGGGGAGAGGTAGCGGGCTCCCCAGCAGCGGAAATAAGGGTGGTAACAACTGCCGCCACCAAGATAATGGGGATGGTTCTACACACTCTTCATATGCCAGCTCTTCTGAGGAAATGAACTGTTTTGGGAAATGAGGCACAGAGATTCTGTAATGCACCGAAGATGTATATATGAGGGAGTGGTACAACATACGGGTTCCATCACCTTGAAACGCTGTCAAAAAGTTGTTCACCCTTAGAACAACTATACTCCAATAAATATTAAAAAAAAAAAAGTTCACTCTCAGTTGAATCACTCCTCTAATCTCGCCCCTAATTCACAGGAAATACGGTGGATAGAGGAGCAAGTTAAACAGCACCGGACAAATCACTATGGGGGACATCCTGCGGGACAAGTAGCCCGGATGCTTCAAAAAGTGTCATTTTTTTAAAGAGGCAGGGATTCTGCTCTAAAGAAGTATAACCATCAAATGCAGTGCATGACCCTCAATTAGAACCTAAATCGGGGGGGGGGAAGCTATGAGAGATATTTTGGAACACTGGGATGTTAGAGAGAGTTACTGGATTGTTCATATTCTTAGGTGAGATCACAGCATCGTGGTTATGTACTTCCTTACTCCTAGAAGATGCAAAGGGAAGTATTTAGAGCTGAAATGTCATGATATCTGCAACTGATTTCTAAATGGCTCATCCAAAAAATACATTTGTGTTCATAACATATGTGTATATGGATAGAAAGCAAATATGGCAAGATGTCACTAACTGTTGAACCTAGGCTGAGGACGTATGGGTGTTTGCTGTACTATTATTTCAACTTTTCTGTTTGCTGACAAATTTTCAAACTAAAACATTTGTGAAAGAAAACAAGAGAGACACATGGGAAGAAACAGGCCCCCTTCTTCCCCTAGATGTTGTCTCTCTCTGTGTGAAGCCGGAAGTATTGCTGTAACCACGTGACCATGCGGAGCTGACAGGCCCAAGGATGGTTCAGTGCAAAGCTGGAGAAACCTGAACTTCTGACAATGTCTTTGAGCTGTTGTCTCCCTAGGACTTCTTGGTATGTGGGATAACAAAGCCCCCTGATGTTCCTTGGTTGAATCAGGGTTTTCGTTGACTTTAGTCAAAAGCTTCTTAACTGATATATAGACATTTGGCAACTGTCAGCACACGGATGACAGCACGTGTTTGAGGCAGAGTGGAGAGAGAGAGGAGATCCCAGGCAGGAGGAACATCACATGGAAAAGCTGGAGCTCGCAGGGAGCCGAGAGGGGAGAGCCTAGGAGGCAGGAGGATGGCAGGGAGGCCGTGTTATGGAGGCCAAGAGCCCGGGGTGTCCTGAGAAGAGGGATCAGGGAACTGTGTGGAATGTTTCCCTGCAGAGAAGTGAGACAGGACAGGCGAGCCCTTGACTGTGAGCTTGGCAGGGGAAGCCCCTGGCTGAGAGTGGGCTGAGGGGTGGTGGCGGGGGAGAGGCAGAGAGACCTGGGGAACAGCCAGTTTCTGTGGTTGCTGTTGAAAGCATCCCCCCTGGGGTGATGGAGATCCTGGCTTTGTGGCCGAATGGCTGTGGGGCCGGGCTCTTCCGGTCTCCTTTTCCACCTCAACCCCTCCCTACCTGTACAGGAGAGGGGGCATTCGGTGGAGGATCAGAGACCGAGAGACAGAAACGGAGACAGAGAGACAGGAAGCTGCTTACCCAAGATATCACAGCTAGTGGAAAACTCTCACCTCATCCCCAGCTCCCCCAGACTCCCAGCTCAGACCCTGCCCCTGCCCAGTGCACCACACAGCTCACCCTGCCAGACCATGAGTCCCCTGTGCCCAGGACTGCTCAGTCCTACCTCCTCTGGGAAGCCGCCCCAGTGAGCCCCATCCTACTTTGGGCACCTCCACGATTGCAGTGTTGTCACAGCCCTTTGCGGATGGTGTGGGTCAGGCTAGGGGGACTGTCTAGGGGACTTTGGCCTTGTCCAGAGCCCTGCGGAAGCAGGAAGTAGATGCCCGGAGGCTGAGCTTCCCCCTTCATTCCCCTTGGACCCTGAATCCTAGAGCCACTGACATCACTCTTGATGGGGATTCCAGCCAGGTGTACTCCAGAGGTGCCAGCCACAGCCCGCCCTGGGGCTTTGCCAGACCTCCTGAGCTAACGGCCGGACCTGTGTGTGGCTTCACGCCAAGCCAGGCTCTGAACAGGTCTGGGGTGCAGGCCCAGGGCCACAGTCAGCCAGGAGTAGAAGCAGTTGCCTCTGACCCAGCAGGTGGGAGAAGGTGCCATGCCTCTCAGGGCCTCCCTTTCCCCGGGGCCTCTCCTGCTGCCAGGGACACAGACCCCTTCGGGCCTCTGCACTCACCTTGCCTAGTCACAGGGGCACCTATGCCACCATAGCAGGAAGGAACAGAGATCCTTTCTTCTGAGCCGTGCGCGTCATTCAGCACGTCCACCTCATCTTCTGCAGACAGGGATGCCCAGGTCACTGCTCTGGGGCTGAAGCCCAGGCGAAACGGGGGCCCTGGGCCCTGGTCAAGATGAAGCAGCCTGTTCTCTGTCCCCCCAGCATATGAGGATAGAAAACTTGGGACGCTGGAGAGCAAGGATCCAGCCAGAACAGGCCTCTTCTTGGAGTTCTCCCAACCTGGCTCCCTGGGGGGACCTGGGTGGCCAATGCCAGCACCGCGGTGGGGGCTAAAGGAGGGCTGGGATGCAAAGGTCTGAGCCTGCGGGAGGCAGGGCAGCAACATGAGGACTGGGCTTCAGGGAGAAAAGGCTGTAATGGGCTGCAGGTGGCTGTCGGAGAAGGAGGGCTGGGGTCTGCCCCCCTCATGGCCCACCCCACGGTGAGTGGAGGGGTTCAAATGTTAGTGATGACATCTCCACTAAGGGTGTGGGGTGTCCAAATCCGAGAGCTGCAGACAGCACTGCAGTTGGCCAGCCACTCTGGCTGACGGGAGTTCATCACGCTCTTTCTTTCCATCCGCCCAACTGCAAGGACATAAGGAGGACACGAGGGCAGAGCCCACACTTACCATTTCCGTACATTTTTATCCCTCGCCTCCTGGGAATGGGGCAGGAAGAAGAAGGAAGACAGACAAGTTAGGACGCCCTGGATTGCCTTCGGGGGAGGCTCTGGCACCAGGTCCCCCATCAATCCTAAAGAAAGTGTCTCCTGAGGACATCCACCCCCAAATCCCATCCCGGCCCAGGGGTGAGCCAAGGGGCAGGCTTCAGGGTGTCCGACTCCTCCCAACAAAGAAGGATGGTGAAGAGCTGAAGGGCAGAGCCTTGGAGAAAAGATTACAAGAGTCCCCAAGCCCAGGAGCCCAGCCCCAGCTCTGCCCTGAAATGGCTGCAGGACCCCAGGCCTGTCACTTAACCTCTCTGGACTTCCTTGGCCATGATGCAAATGACTCAAAGTGGGCTTCAGAAGAGCAAGGAGAGAGGTAAAAAATGCTTTGAAAAGATGAAACTGATAGATGAACAAATAGGATTCTCTTCACTGAGAGCCCAGCATGTGGCCGGGCCTGGAACAGGTGGGCCATCAGTGTTTGAAGAACTAATTCATGACCAATGAATAAACAGATGGATGCCGAGCCACCCCACTAAATGGCACAGCCCAGTGTGTGCTTAGACACATGGAGAGCCTCCCAGAAGAAGGTTCGAGAAAGATAAGGTGATCAGAGAGAGATACATAACTTCTTATCGTTTTCCTCAGGACACTAGGAGTCAATCTCCTAGTCCATGGGAGGGGCCGGGAGGAGGCAGGGGCATGGACACAAAGATCCCACGAGGCCAGCTCCTTACCCCGGATTCACAGGCTCCGAATGCAGAGGCACTCGCCGGGTCTTGCCAAGGGAGGCCAAAGGTGAGCTCATAATTCTACTTCTAGTCTCTAGCTGTCAGGAACTCCCTGAGAAGAAAGAAGTCAGCCCTTGGGGACAGTCACTCAGGACCAGGGAGCGGCCTGAAACTTCCTCTGCCCTGGCTACTTTTCCCAGGAGGGAGCACTGTCCAGGGAGTGGCACCCCTCACTTCTTCCTACTGCCTCTGCAGAAGTTTCTGGAGGCGGCCTGGCCTCAGGATCCCTATGCTTGATGTCCACCTGCTCCACTGGATATCCAGCTCTCTGCTCTGCTCTTGGAGGTCTCTGGCCTAGCAGTGCTTGGGAAAGGGCGATGGGGGTAGGATGGGGTGCAGAGGTGGGCCGGAAGCCTGGGACTTCCCCAAACTTCAAGCCCTGGCACAAGACTACCCAGCAGGCCTGGGGCTTCTGTCTATCTACCAAGGAGCTGGTCACCACGTCCAGGTGTCCCCTTCCCTCCTACCAGAACCAGGGGCCACCTCCAACTTCTCAGAGCCAGAGAGGGGCAACCCCAAGGCAGGATTCTACCAAGACACCACCTGCATGGCAGGGAGGTCAAGAGCCCAGACCCTGGATAGGTTCTGCCATTCCAGTATAGCCTGGGCCTCAGTTTCCTTTAGCGTGAAGTGGGGATGGTAATAGTACCAGCCAGGTAGGGGTAACACACGTAAAGCACCTAGCCCAGTGAAACGCTCAAAGGAATTACTCAAAAATGTGAATTGTGGCTGCTGCTGTTATTGGCACATAGAAGGCCCTCATAAATGCTGATTTCCCTTCCTTTCCTCTTCCTTCTGGAAAGATGAATGAACATCAGGGATGCAATTAACGGTCACTACTCTACTCAGTGAATTAAATATCACGTGGCTAATGTCTAGAAATCGAAGAATCAAACGACCTCCATCAGGGCCTGAATCAAGTCTTCCGTTCCACTTTGGAGATGTGTGGCACTGGCCTCCACCAGCCCGTGAATCTGCCCAGCAAGGGGACCTGCATCACCAGGAGGCAGCTCCCTTGGTCTTAATTCTGGAGTTTGGGACTCATGCCCCGCCCCTTTCTCAGAGGTGCCCTCCAAGGACAAGGTCCAGAGTTTCCTGATCTCCATCATCCGGCATCCAGCCTCCCAAACCTGCCCCCAGCCTGCCTGGTTCCTGCCGTCTTGTCCGGGCATCCTCAGGGTATGTGTGGCCAAGTGTGACGGCCCCTGTGGCTCCCTTCACCAGTCTCCACACACTGCCAGAGGAATCTTCTTAAACCCAAAGCTGACATGTCACTTCCCTGCTCAATACTCCCAGTGGCTCCTTCTCACCCACAGAAAAAAAAATCAAAATTCCTTAACATGGATGATCTGGTCGCTGCCTGTGTCTCTGGACCTCACCCATCATCACCCACGGTCCTCCCGCATCCCACCCTCCACTTGAGCCACTCTGAACTGTCGGCCCTGAAATGCACCAGGGCTTTCTTTGCACACATGGCTCCTCAGGCCTGGAACCCGATCCCCCAAAATGGTCTCCCTACTCCTACCCACACCCTTCCCTTGGCTGGCTAACTCCTTTTTTTTTTTTTTTTTTGCTTTTATTTAGTTATATTTTAACTTTTTACTTTAAAATTATTATAGATTCACAGGTAATTAGGACAATAGTAGAGAGGTCTGGTGTACCCTTCACAGTTTTCCCCAATAGTCACATTTTACATGACTATTGTACACAGTATCAAAATCAGGAAATTGACATTGTATAATCTGTGTGTGTCATTCTATGCCATTTCATCCCCTGTATAGACTCTGTGTAACCACCACTGCAATCAATATATGTACAGAGGACTTCCCTGGTGGTGCAGTGGTTAAGAATCTGCCTGCTAATGCAGGCGACACAGGTTCAAGCCCTGGTCCGGGAAGATCCCACATGCTGTGAAGCAAATAAGCCCATGCGCCACAACTACTGAGCCTGTGCTCTAGAGCCCGTGAGCTACAACTACTGAGCCCACGTGCCACAACTACTGAAGCCTGCGTGCCTAGAGCCCGTGCTCCGCAACAAAGAGAAGCCACGGCAATGAGAAGCCCACGCGCCGCAACAAAGAGTAGCCCCCACTCGCCGCAACTAGAGAAAGCCCGCACACAGCAACAAAGACCCAACGCAGCCAAAAATAAATAAATTTATATTAAAAAACGATATGTACAGAACTATTCCATCACCACAAAGATCTCCCTTGTGCTACTCCTTTAGCATCACACTCATCCTCTTCCTCACCACTGTTCCTAACCCCTGGCAACCACTACTCTGCTTCCCATCTCTATAATTTTCTTACTTCAAGAATGTTATATAAATGGAATCAAATAGCATGTGACCTTTTTTAAAAAAACAACAACAGCTTTATTGAAGTATAATTCACACACTTAACTCTTTTAAAAGTACACAATTCACTGGTTCTTAGTATATTCATAAATTCAGAGTTATGAAACCACCATCACAATCAGTTTTGGAACATTTTCATCACACTAAAAAGCCCCAGGCACTGTGCCTTTAGTAGCGAAAACGACCCTGCATGAACTCCCACCAGACCTGATTATTCCTCCTTTCTCCAAATTCTCATCACCATAATGACCCCTCAAAAGAAACTGGTCAAAAAGACAGAAATTAATAAGCATTGGCAAGGATGAGGGGAAACTGGAACCTTTGCTGGAATGTAAAATGGTGCTGCTGCTGTAGAAAACAGTCTAGCAGTACCTCTAAAGGTTAAACAGAGTTATCTTATGGCCTCCATGCCTAGTTATATACCCAAGAGAAACGAAAACTTACATCCACACAAAAATTTGTATATCTGTTCATAAGCAGCATTACTCATAATAGCCAAAAAATGGAAACAACCCAAATGTTCATCAACCAGTGAATGGGTAAACAAATGTGGTATACCCTTACAATGGAATATTATTTGGCAACAAAAAAGGAATGAAATACATACTACAATGTGAATGGACCTTGAAAACATTATGCCAAGGGAAAGAAGTCAGTCACAAAAGACCACCAATTGTTATGATTCCATTTATATAAAATGTCCAGAATGGGCAAATCCATAGAGACAAAGTAGGTTAGTGGTTGCCTAGGGTAGGAGGTGCTAAAGGGAGACGGGGAGGGTGTGGGTGGACTGCTAAAGGGTATAAGGTTTCCTTTTGGGCTGATGAAAATGTTCTAAAACTGATTGTGGTGAGGGCTGGACAACTCTATGAATATACTAAAAACAATTGAAATTTACATTTTAAAGGGGTGAAGTATATAGTGTGTGAATTTTATCTCAATAAAGCTATCACAAGAAAGAAAAGGACCTGGTCTCCAAACCAAAACCAACATCTTCCCTCAAAATAAGCTCCTCCCACTTCCCCCTTCTTAATGGGACCCCATCATCCAAACACAAAAATTTTCCCTCCTTCTTTCCCTCTTAATCCCATCAGTTACCAAATCCTGCAGGTTAAACTCTGCAAGTCTCTCACACATAGCTCCTCCTCTCCATGACCACTGTTGGCCATCCTAGTGGGACTCTCACTACCCTTCTTTGGGGCTGTCACAATGGCCCCAAACTGACTTCCCCATTCCAGTCTCACTCCAGGCCAATCCAACACACTGTCTTCAGATCCATTTTCCCATGGATTATAGGAGACCCGTAAGGACGACGATTGTATCTTCCTATCAGCCTGGGGACTCCTGAGCGCAGGGCTGTGTCTCCTCCCTCAGACCGGGGACCCTGAGGACAAAGCCACGTCTACTCCCTTCACTTTGGGGTCCTCCTGGGAGGACTGTGTCTTCCCCCTCAAGCCGGAGGCGGCTAAAGGTTAGGCTGTCTGCCCCTTCAGACTCAAGTTTTGAGAGGAAAGTTCTGTCTTATGCCTCTACATCTTTGGGAGTCAAATTTATCCCCCCACAGGTCCCAGTGCTCGCCAGCGCCGACAAGGACCAGCAGGCTGTACACCTTCAACCCCTAAATCCCCAGCTGGAAGCGCTCACCACGTGACTTCTACCACCAGTCCCGCCCTAGGAGCCGCGTCACCGCCTCCCTGCCTCCACGCGTAGCCATGGTAGGCGGGGGCCCGAATCTGCTCCCAGGGCGCGGGGGGGGTCTTCTGGGGGAGCCGGGCCGCGGGTCTCGCGTGTCCTCGAGGTTCTCGGGGTGAGGACCCCAGACTGTGTGTGTGGCTCCATGGGCAGAAAGGTCTAGGGCCGTGACTCACCACGCAAGGCTGCAGAGCCGCCCGCGGCGCCGCCATCTTGTTGTTACACGGTTTCCCAGGCGACCAGGACCCGTGCGCTTCTCATTGGCTAATTCGAGGGGTGTCCCTGAGCAACCAGCAGGCAGCGGAGGCGGGTACAGCCGTCTGTGCTCGAATTCTATTGGCCCACGGAGTCTCAATTCATCGCTGGATACTGCAAATCCCAGAATCCACCGCTCTGAGCGGACTCGGGGACTGGAGAAAGGGAGGGCCCGTTCACGTCAACCCAAGGCACAGAAAGCGGAGAACCTGGGATAAGATTCACGAAGCTGCTGGAAGCTTCTGGACCTGAACGTGTAATCCTGACAATGCCACTGTTTTGCTAGATTGATTTTGGGAGAAATTACATTTATCCCTCTGAGCCTGTTTTTTCATCTGATCAGTACAGTACTAAGGGGGCAGTTCTTTTAAGCATGAATGGAAATGATGCAAGTACTTAATAAATGTTTCTTAAATCTGAATTTCTCTGCTAACTTCTTGACCAAACGGCGCCCTGAAGGGACGCTCATATTCTGTTTCCTTTGTGTGAAAATTTGGGTGAGACTCCCCCTGCCTTTGGATAAGACACTTTGTGTGATTTTGGGTGAAACACTTCCCCTCCTGAGCCTCACATGAAAAAAAAAAAGGTGTTGGATTAAAGCAACTAGAGAGGGCTTCCCTGGTGGCGCAGCGGTTGAGGGTCCGCCTGCCGATGCAGGGTACACGGG